TGCTTTTCTTACATATATCGTCGATTTATTGGCGTTATAAGGATTCAACGTGCTTCAAAGCTGAAACTACGATTATTTTTTCTTTCTGTTGTGTTTTATCTCTCTGAAATGTGAATAACGATGTATTAGAATTATGCTAGAAAAGATAAAACAGTGCACATTTATATTCTTCTAAGTGACTTGCGCGTTTGCACTCATTTTTCGTTTCTGTTCTTTCGCATAGTATTAATGTTATAGAAGAAAAATAATTTTCTTTCTTTTTTCAAGAATAATGACTCATGATAGCAGTTAGTCAACATTGTTTTTTCTCATTCCTATTTTATCTTAGAAATTTCTCGAAAAAGAATTTTAAATGTTCGTAAGACATTATATATAGTTATTAGTGATAGACAAACTCTATAAATAGAAAAAATATACCAAATTGATTGATCAGTTAAATTTATTAACTGACAATGGCTGGTACTTACGACAACGAAGAGCAGAGAATAGTCGATAGAGTTAAATGCATCGCTTTTCGTGAAGCTCGCAATGAGGGTGCAACATTTATTAATCGACAATGGATTGCACAGAAAATTCATCGAACTACTCGATTTGTTACTGAGTGGTGGGAGAAATCATAAGATGAATGTTTTGCTGATTATTCGAAATCTGGTCGTAAACTGAAGTTATCAGAAGCGAGTAGAGATATCATTCTGAACGCCAGTTTCAAACAAGGGAAAAGCTCTTATATTGTGACGAAAGAAATTGCAGAAAAGCAAAACGAATATGTTGTTCGAAAAACCATCGATAATTATCGTTTCAGAGAAGGACTAAAGCCTTTTCATGTTATTCCAAAACCGTTAAAAACAGAAACTTATATTTCTAATCGATTGCGGTTCTGCGATTGGTTAAAAGACTAGACTAAAGAAGACTTTCTACACCTTGCGCCATCAGATGAACTTTATGTCTGGATCGTTCGCAGACCAAATTATCAAAATGATCGAGTCTGGGCAAAAAGTATTGAAGATGAAGAAGACGATGAAAGATATCGTGAAATGGTTAAAAATCAAGTGTATATTGTGATTTTTGTGATTTTTACTGCCCAAAAGTTACATTGGGTTATCAAAGAGAAAGGTGAATCTTGAACGGGCCAATATTTTCGTGATATAATTATAATACAACATGTGATACTATTTCTAAAAAATGAAGAAAATGTAATCGATCCGGATGAAGCAATATTTGTCCATGACAAAGCACCATGCATGCGAGCAAATATGACTCAACATTTGCTTCAAGACAATAACATCAAATTCTGGAGAAATGACACTTGACCCAGAAACTCGCTTGATCTAAATGTAGCTGAACATATTGGAACAGTAATTAAAAATGAAGTTGAAAAAAAATGCTATCAGAACCGGAACATGATCGTTATCGTGAAGAAAATTTGAAGAAACACATTTCAGATGTTTTGAAAAATATGGAAACGGATATTGAATTATTTGAAGCTCTCTTATGTTCGTATCCGTCACGTCTTCGTGCTGTAAAGAATGCTAACGATCGTCATACTGATTATTGATTATATTCATTGAACTTTAATAAAAATAAAAATTTCTTTGTCATATGTCAACATTTGAAAACAGATCTAGTTTAAATTGTCTCATAACTCTGATTTTCTGCGACAACACAGTATAGTATTTTTGAAAATTGCTTTAATTTAATATAGAAAAGTTTCCATATCCCTTACTATTTAGTACTACTAAATTCCGTTTTTGGCGCGCTTTAATTTGGTATAAAATTTGTTATGATTGCTATTTGAAATCATAGCGTTACCCCTCTGGAATAATATTTTTACCCACCTAGTACAATAGCTGATGAGAGTTTCGAGATTCGACGTAAAAAAAGTAACTTCAAATACCTTAGTTTTCATCACTTTCATAAATCGAAATTATAGAAGTTGCAGAACTTTTGACTTTTTCTCTTAGATAAACCTTTCTTACGACACGAGGTAATTCACGAGTTCCATTTTTTGTCTATTTTTATACATAGTTTAAACAACGCACTTATACCGAATTGAGCCAACTGTTGGACAAATTGACAAAAGACGTTCAAGAGTATCTAAAGCACAAACGAGGCATTGGTGAGATACTGTTTAGTGACGTTACAGAAAGAAATCAAGATAGTTCAACAGATGACGCAGTATTATCATGGTGGAAATATTTCGTTCAAATGTTATGTCATTTACAATATCCAAACTATTGTAAACAAGAACAGTTGGTTAATTCATTACAAGTTTACTATCAAGGTAATGAAAGAGTTATAGACATTTTAGATGAATTTAAGACAAAATACTTATCAGAAAATGCCGTTCAGTGGTATACGCGTCCAATTTTTCTGAGTTGCTTGCTAAACCGCGCCTTACGTCTTCATCATATTGAATTGATGTTCATGTTTGGCTTCTTTTTACAAGATCTTAATCAACAATTAAGACAAGCACATACAGATTTCATATCGACACGGTTGCATACAAACGACCTAATAGTGAAAACCTATCGTGGACAAACAATGTCACGTACAGAAATTGAATTACTTTACGAAGATAATATAATTACAGACCAAAGAATTGTAATAAATAGTCTATTTTCAACATCCTATGATCGCTTGGTAGCATTACACTTTTTACCTGAACCAGAGCAATTAGAAGAACAATTAGAACGCGTTCTATTTGAAGTAAAAATAGATGCTCATCAGCAACAAACTCATTCATTTTCTGATGTTTCCCAATTAAGTGCTATTCCAGATGAATCAGAAATATTATTTATGACTGGAACACATTTTTATATAGATGCAGGTAGTATAAAATACGATGAATCAGAGAAAGTTTGGATCGTAAAACTAAAATTGGCAGAAGACTTTCATATGAAACAAGATAAGGACTTTATATATTCGCTGAATGATGACAAAAAAACATTGAAAAACTGTATCGCTATACTTTTGGATAATATACGTCATGCATTACCTGAAGAACTAGATAAAATATTTGATGGATTATTACATATGTATCCACAAAATGCAAAATGGATATCAGCTTTGAAATTCCATTGTCTAGCTAAATATTATCAGTATCCAGACAGGATGTCATACACAGAGGCATTACGCAACTATAATAAAGCATTATCACTGTGGTCAGAATGCATTAACGATCACAATGATAGATTAAATCATGCCGTTGATATTGGTAAACTTTACAAAGACCTTGCCTGGTTTTATCAATATAATATGAATGATAATCAACTGGCTGATAGTCATTATAATCTTTCTATAGAACTCAATCAACTAGCACATGCATCGGCAGCTACAAGTGCTAATGAACATATAGATTTGCTACATAGATTAAGTGATATATATGAAAATAAAATGAAACTGATCACTAGGGAATTAAATCGAAAGCAAGACTATGGTTTACTGGCCATCAACTTTAAACAAGAAGAAATACAAGCCAGAAAGAATCGAAATGATTTTAGTGATTACGATCAAATTATAATATCTACTGGGCAAATTGCTCGTCTGTATAAAGCAATTAATAAATATGATGAAGCCTTATTCTGGTATGAAAAAGTTTTAGAAATTGAACTACGAGAAGAACCTATTTGTTACTATTCGATTGATGAAATTTATAAAGAAATTATTCAAATTTATACTGATCGTCAGAATCCCGGCGATTATCAACTAGTTGAGAAATACAAATTAATGATGCATGAAAATTTATTGAAAATGAATCATGTTTCATCAGAATTCGATTATAGCGATAAAGATGAGAAAACGGAGATCACTCGTGGACATCTCTGACTATTTCAAACGTATATTCGTTTAAATCAGCACACATTAGCTGGGGAACATTTAAACCAGTGGCGTTATATAAAGAAAGATACCGATTAGCCAGACTTTTGTTGATTTAGCAGATAATCAAGAGATTATCACAGCAAAAATTAATCATCTGAAATAAATAAATAAATTAATTAATTAACAGTTATTATTTAAACAAGAAAAAGTCGAACTTTGATTTTCTTTAGCAGTAGTTTTAAAAACTCTTTCAGTAGAAAAAGAGAGTGTGGGTGTGGGTGTGAGGGTTTTCGCTCAGTATACCAATCCTCACACCCACACTCAAGGGGGAAACAACTGATTTATGATTTTGTGAGTTAAGGTGAGTTAAGGCGATCTACGTGATCCAAAGTGATCTAAGACGATTTAAGATGATTTAAGATGATTTAGGATGATTCATG